ACCAGAACAGGATAGCAAATATTCAATTATAGCATTAGGGTAAAGGTAAGGAAACTACCAAAACAAGGACGATCTTAGCACTCTAACTACAAATTAATAAGACGAGTTGGAATAAAAAATGAAAATAATTATTTAGGAGGGGAAGAGCAAAGGGTCTAAATCAGTATTGGTCAAGTAGGTAAGAGACCACCAGAAACTAGACTATATTATACACGAGATTCTAAATACAAACTTCAAGGTAGACACTAAAATAAAGTACAGAACAGAGTCACAAATCATAAATAAGGAAAAATCGAAGAAACCCAGCATAAGAAATTGCAGTATTAAATGGGTAGTCTAAAGCAAACAGGAAAAGAAACACAGGAAAACAAGATAATGAGCAACAGATTAACAGCATTAAGTCCACATGCATCAATAATCACTCTCAATGTGAACGGATTGAACTCTCCAATAAAAAGACACAGAGTGGCAAAATGGATTAAAGAACACGATCCAACAATTTGTTGCCTCCAGGAAACACACCTCAGCCCCAAGGACAAACACAGACTCAGGGTGAAGGGGTGGAGGACAATACTTCAAGCAAATAGCAAGGAAAAAAAGGCAGGTGTTGCAATTCTCATATCAGACCAAGTGGATTTCAAAATAAGACAGGTAAAGAGAGACACAGAGGGACAATATATAATGATCAAAGGGACACTTCATCAAGAAGAAATAACGCTTATAAATATCTATGCACCCAACACAGGAGCACCAAGATTCATAAAGCAACTATTAACAGACCTAAAGGAAGATGTTAAAACAACACAATAATAGTAGGGGACCTCAACACCCCACTCACATCAATGGACAGATCATCCAGACAGAAAATCAACAAGGAAATAGTGGAGCTAAATGAAAAACTAAAACAATTGGACTTAATAGACATATATAGATCACTTCACCCTGAAAGAGCTGAATACACATTCTTCTCAAGTGCACATGGAACATTCTCTAGGATAGACCATATGTTGGGAAACAAGGCAAGCCTCTACAAATTTAAAAAAATGGAAATAATAACAAGCATCTTCTCAGATCATAGTGCTATAAGGCTAGAAGTTAATTACAAGAAAAAAGCTGAGAAAGGCACAAAGATGTGGAGACTAAACAACACACTACTGAACAGGCAATGGATCATTGAAGAAATTAAAGAAGAAATAAAAAAATACCTGGAAACAAATGAAAATGATAGCATGCCATACCAACTCGTATGGGATACAGCAAAAGCTGTATTAAGAGGAAAATTCATCGCAATACAGGCACATCTTAACAAACAAGAAAAATCCCAAATAAGCAACCTTAAAACACACCTAACTGAACTAGAGAAAAAAGAACAAATGAAGCCCAAAGTCAGCAGAAGGAGAGAAATAATAAAAATCAGAGCAGAAATAAATACTATTGAAACGAAAAAGGCAGTAGAAAGGATCAATGAGACAAAGAGCTGGTTTTTTGAGAGAGATAAATAAATTGACAAACCACCAGCCAGACTTACAAAGAAAAAAAGGGAGAAAGCTCAAATAAACAAAATCAGAAATGAGCGAGGAGAAATAACAACAGACTCTGCAGAAATACAACAGATTATAAGAGAATACTACAAAAAACTATATGCCAACAGAATGGATAACCTAGAGGAAATGGATAAATTCTTGGACTCCTACAATCTCCCAAAGCTCACTCAAGAAGAGGCAGACAATTTGAACAGACCAATCACAAGGAAAGAGATTGAAACAGCAATCAAAAACATCCCAAAGAATAAACCCCAGGACCAGATGGCTTTCCTGGGGAATTCTACCAAACTTTCAGAGAGGATTTAATACCTATCCTTTTCAAGCTATTCCAGAAAATTAGGGAAGATGGAACACTTCCCTAACACATTCTATGAGGCCAACATCACGCTGATACCAAAACCTGACAAGGACACCACGAAAAAAGAGAACTACAGGCCAATATCACCAATGAACATAGATGCAAAAATTCTAAACAAAATTTTGGCAACCAGAATTCAGCAATTCATCAAAAGAATCATACATCAGGATCAGGTGGGATTCATACCAGGGACACAGGGATGGTTCAACATCTGCAAATCAATCAACATGATACACCACATCAACAAACTGAGGAATAAAAACCACATGATCATCTCAATAGATGCAGAGAAGGCATTTGACAAGATCCAACAGCCATTTATGATAAAAACTCTGAACAAAATGGGCATAGAAGGAAACTACCTCAACATAATAAAGGCCATATACGACAAACCCATAGCCAACATCATACTCAATGGGCAAAAACTGAATGCCATCCCCCTGAAAACAGGAACGAGACAAGGATGCCCTCTATCACCAGTCTTATTTAACATAGTACTGGAGGTCCTGGCCAGAGCAATCAGGCAAGAAAAAGGAATAAAAGGAATCCAAATAGGGAGGGAAGAAGTGAAACTCTCGCTGTTTGCAGACAACATGATCTTATATATAGAAAACCCCAAAGAATCCATTGGAAAACTGTTAGAAGTAATCAACAACTACAGCAAAGTTGCAGGGTATAAAATCAATTTGCATAAATTAGTAGCATTTCTATACTCCAGTAATGAACCAACAGAAAAAGAACTCAAGAATACAATACCATTCACAATCACAACAAAAAGAATAAAATACCTTGGGGTAAATTTAACTAAGGAAGTGAAGGACCTATATAATGAAAATTACAAGGCCTTTCTGAGAGAATTGGATGACGACATAAGGAGATGGAAAGACATTCCACGTACGTGGATTGGAAGAATAAACATAGTTAAAATGTCCGATCTACCTAAAGCAATCTACAGATTCAATGCCATCCCAATCAGAATCCCAATGACATTCTTTACAGAATTAGAACAAAGAATCCTAAAATTCATATGGGGCAAGAAAAGACCCCGAATTTCTAAAGCAATCCTGAGAAAAAAGAACAAAATGGGAGGCATCACAATCCCTGACTTCAAAACATACTACAAAGCTACAGTAATCAAAACAGCATGGTACTGGTACAAAAACAGGTGCACAGATCAATGGAACAGAATTGAAAGCCCAGAAATAAAACCACACATCTATGGACAGCTTATCTTTGACAAAGGAGCTGAGGGTATACAATGGAGAAAAGAAAGTCTTTTCAACAAATGGTGCTGGGAAAACTGGAAAGCCACATGTAAAAGAATGAAAATTGACCATTCTTTTTCACCATTCACCAAAATAAACTCAAAATGGATCAAAGACCTAAAGGTGAGACCTGAAACCATAAGGCTTCTGGAAGAAAACGTAGGCAGTACACTCTTTGACATCAGTATTAAAAGGATCTTTTTGGACACCATGCCTTCTCAGAGAAGGGAAACAATAGAAAGAATAAACAAATGGGACTTCATCAGATTAAAGAGCTTCTTCAAGGCAAATGAAAACAGGATTGAAACAAAAAAACAACCCACTAACTGGGAAAAAATATTTGCCAGTCTTATATCTGACAAAGGCTTAATATCCATAATATATAAAGAACTCTCGCAACTCAACAACAAAACATCAAACAACCCAATCAAAAAATGGGCTGGAGACATGAACAGACATTTCTCCAAAGAAGATATACTGATGGCCAATAGGCACATGAAAAGATGCTCATCATCGCTGATCATCAGGGAAATGCAAATCAAAGCTACACTAAGATATCACCTTACACCCGTTAGAATGACAAAAATATCTAAAACTAATAGCAACAAATGTTGGAGAGGTTGCAGAGAAAAAGGAACCCTCATACACTGCTGGTGGGAATGCAAACTGGTGCAGCCACTATGGAAAACAGTATGGAGATTCCTCAAAAAATTAAAAATAGAACTACCATACCATCCAGCCATCCCACTACTGGGTATTTATCCAAAGAGCTTGAAGTCAGCAATCCCAAAAGTCCTATGCACCCCAATGTTTACTGCAGCACTGTTCACAATAGCCAAGACGTGGAAGCAACCTAAGTGCCCAGCAACAGACGAATGAATAAAGAAGATGTGGTACATATATACAATGGAATACTACTCAGCTGCAAAACAGAACAAAATCATTCCATTTGCAATAACATGGATGGACCTTGAGAGAATTATGTTAAATGAAATAAGCCAGCGAGAGAAGGATAATCTGTGTATGACTCCACTCATATGAGGAATTTAAAATTATGGACTAAGAACAGTTTAGTGGGTACAGGGGAAAGGTGGGGTGGGGGGTGGGCACAAAGGGTGAAGTGGTGCACCTACAACATGATTGACAAACATTAATGTACAACTGAAATTTCACAAGATTGTAACCTATCAATAACTCAATAAAAAAATAAATAAAATAAAATAGTTTCTAAAAAAAAACAAAACTTGTATCCAATATATATAAAGAACTTTCAAAAGTCAGTGATAAGAAAGGAAACAGCTCAAGGGAAAACTTTTGAACAAACACAACAAAAGAAGATATATAGATGGTAAACAAGCACATGAAAATATGCCAATATTACTAGTCATTAGGGAAATGCAAATTAAAATCCTAAGTAATTTTGCTACCACTATATATCTATTAGGATGGCAAAAATTAAAAAGACTGACCATACCAAGCACTAGCGAAGATGTGGAGGAAGTGGAACCCTCATACACTGCTGTGGGAATGTAAAATGGGGCATCCACTTTGGAAAACAGTTTAACAGTTTCTTTAAGAGTTAAACATATACCTGCCGTATGATCTAGCCATTCCACTCTTAGGTATTTATCCAAGAGAAAAGAAAGCTTACGTCATACAAAGGCTTGACCACAAATGTTCACAGCAACTTTATTTCTCACAGTCCAAAACTGGAAACAACCCAAATGTCCATCTATATATAAATAGATAAATTGTGGAATGTTCATACAATGAAATACAACTCAGTAATATAAAGGAAATAACATGAATGAATCTTAAAATAATTATGCTGAGTGAAAGAAGACAGACAAAAATGAACACATACCACATGATTCCATTTACATAAAACTCTAGAATGCAGTTAACCTATAGTGATAGAAAGCAGATCAGTGGTTGTCTGGGATCAAGGGTGGGAGGGGTCGGGGGAGGAATTACGAAGGGCCTTGAGGAGACTTTTGGGAGTAATGGATATGCTCATTGTCTTAATTGTGGTGATGGTCTCACGAGTATAGACATATGTCAAACGTATCAACTTGTGTGGTTTACATATGTACAATTTATTGTATATCAATTATACCTCAATAAGACTGTTACTATGTAAATATATGCATTATATTATATTATATATTATACATACATAGCAGCATTTGTCAAATTTATTTGACCATGATCCTTTTCCCCTGCTTACCTCTGATCCCCATCTGCAGAACCATGGCATACACAATGCGACTGACCTGGGACGGATCCTGGCTCCACTCTCACAGGCTGTGTGCCCTTCAGTAAGAGATTTACCGTTTCAGAGCCTCCATTCTCTGGTCTGTAAAACGGAGCTGTGGTCAGGATTGAAGCCGTGAATGTCGAATGCCTGCCACGTAGTAGGTTCTTAAAAACTCTAGTCCACTAACCCTCCATCCCCACCCCAGAAATCAAACCAGCCATATTTATGGTTTCCCCAGTGGTGTTAACTTTATTTTTAACTAAAGAAACCAGCATTCAGTCCTCCCGAGTCCAAAGGTCCGAGGGGGAAGACATCGAAATGCTTAGCCCTGCCCTGCAGCCCCATCTGCTCTGCATTAGCTGGTCTTCCTCTGTTTATTATTCCTGGTGTTAAATCTCCTCCAATTCTTGTGTGAAAAGTTTGGACACACAATAACCTCTTTATCACATTTTCAAACTCTGGGTCTGTTCTGGAAAGTTTACACCTTTTTCTTGTTGCCATTGTTTTCATGTGGATTCAGATTTCTGCAAAAGGCACTTGGAGCCCTTTACTGGAAACATTCGTGTGTAAGCTGGATGCAGACAAATATCATCAAAGAACAAAAATGAGATGTCAGAGGAATTAGAACAGCACTGCGTGGGCTCCATGTCGGTCACTGGGGCTCAAGCTGGTGGTCAGGAGCCTGGGGCCAGTCAGCTCCCTCCCTCCGCCTCCCTCCTTTGAGGGTAGAAATTGAACAATACTGAAAAGAGAACACATAACTCTGTAAAAATAAATCTATCATAATAACAATATTGGGTACCGTTCGTTGAGCAGTATTTGTGTGCTGTGCCTCGCTAAGTGCTGTTTCATCTGATCTTCACGACAGGCCCGTGAGTTAGGTACAGAATTGGTGAGGACACTTTCAGTCACAAGTGACAGAAAACCCACCTTAAACTGATTCATAAGATAAAGGAATTTTTCTTAGGCACGTCGATTAAAAATCTAGATTCACTTCTGGCTTCAAGTGAGACTCAATCCAGCAGCTCCAAAAGCTGTCTCCAAAGGCTCAGATTCTCTCCCTCTCCTCTCTGCCTTCTTAGGGCCTTTCTCTTTGTGCATCAAGCAGTCAGCCCAGAAATTCCAGGCTTTCCCATGGTGGCAAAATGGCTCCAGCTGTTCCAGACCTCACATCTTTATACCACATCACTCAGCGAGAGAGCAAGCCCTGGAATTCACTCTCTCTCATTGGTCCCAAATGAATCATGTGTCCTTCCCTGAACAGATCACTGTGGCGGGGGAGAGGAGAAGCGGAGGTGAGTAACAGAGGTTGTTTGGATTAAGCATTTGGTGGGGAAGTGGCCCATCCCCAGGAACTAGTAATGGGGCAATCCCAACCAAAGCCCCAGGCTGAGAAATTGGGAGAGGTGGTTTCTCAAGGGAAAATAGGTATAAGGTTGACAAGAAAAGGGAAAACGGGTACTGGGGACATACTCAGCCACTCTAGTATTCATTCATTTACTCATTCACTTATTTATTACAAAAATCTGTTAAACATAGTTCAGGGGTTGGTGATACATCAGGGAATAAAAACCAAAATCCCTATGGTAGATGCTGTTGATGCCCCGCCACATGTCCCCTGACCCACCTGCAGCTGTGGTGGACAGTTCCCATCCATGGGGACTGTGGGCATCTCTCTGCTTTCCCCCTGAAGACTTTTCCAAGCACTGGCGAAGCTTGCTCAGCCCACACACAAGGCTGCCTGGCTGTGCCAGAGGTTTAATGCCCTCAGGGAAACCTGTAGCCAACAAGGGACAGGAGATGGGGACAAATACTCCAGTTTTCCTATGTCTAGGTAGGAAATTTCTGAGGCTGGTTTGACAGAGCTTCTCAGAAGATCTCCAGAGGGTCAAGCCCCAGTTGCCCAGAGCAGTAATGAGCTGATTAAAATGCATCCTTTATTGCATCCCATCCTTCTCTCCTCCCCAACTCCCTCTCTCAGGGTCTGCTTTCAGTGGAACTGAGACTCAGATCATCCCTGCCTTCGTGGGCTTACATTCTGATGGCAGAGGGAGATGGATAATAAACAAAATAAAGGAGCAAAGTCCATAATGTTAGATGGAGATGGACGTTATGGAGGAATACAAAGTCCAGGGAATAGAGCTCCAAGGTGGGTGTGGGGCTATTTTATATAGAGGGTGCAGGACGGCCTTGGGGAAAAGGTGACCTGTGAGTCAACACCTGAAGAAGGTGTATCAGTCAGGTCAAGTTGTGTTCGTTATGCCAAATTAACGAGTAACCCCAAGGTCGGAGTGGTTTAGAGGTTCATTTCCCATTGAAATTACGTGTCCATGGCAGGTCAGCGGGGCACTTTGCTCCACACGTCTTCATTTAGTAACCAGCTGAGGAAACATTGCTGGTTGTCACGGAAGACAGAAAAAGAATCCTGGAAGGTCTCACAACATCAAGTGAAAAGTTCAGCCCTGAACTTTCTGGTCCTGCTCGTGACTCATGTCCAGAACTGGTCCCTGGAGGTGAGAATGCTCCGTGAGTAGGTTCCAGTTCTGCTCCCCGGGAGGGGCTCCATGAATACTGGTTTTTGGGGCCCTGGCCCCATGCTCTTGGAGATTCTTCCTTCTCCATTATCCTCCTTGGTCATATCTAAATTGGGCACTGGAGAACACACCCTCCCTGGGGGCTGCACTGGGACACACACCCTGTGCAAATACTCAGATTCTCTGGGTGGCTTCCTTCAGCCACAGTTCCAGGAGTCTACCCTGAAGATGTCCTTCCAAAGTACAAAACAACATATGCACAAGGGCATTAATTGCAGCCTTATTTGTAACAGCAAAAGACTGGAGACAACGCGAATGTTCATCCGTAGGGGTCTGGCTAAATAAATTACACTCATACAATCAAATTTTGACGAGCTGTCAAAAGAATGAGGAAGTTTTCTGTGAACTGCAGCGATCTCCAGACTATATTGTTAAGTGAAAAAAAGCAAGATACAAAACAATGTATATAATATGCCAAGTTTTTCTGCGAAAAAGGGGAAAATAAATATATTTGCTTATTTTTGTCAAAAGAAACACTGAAAAGTAGGTAGAGAGTATAGGAAGGGAAGTGAGACTTCTGTAAGGATATCTTTTAATATTGGTTTGATTTTGACTCCATAAATGTTTTACATATTCAAAAACAGGGTTAAATCGGAAGGAAAAAATGCAAACCCCTTGTCGCCATATGGGGGCGACAGTGCGAGGAGCAGGTTTGGGAGGACAATAAAGATTCAGTCTTGGATGTGCTAAGTTTGAAATGCAGATTAGACTTGCACGTGGAGGTGTTGAACAGGAAGCCTTGTGAGTCTGGGGACCAGGGAAGAGTTCCAGCTGCAGATATAAATACGAGACTCATTTGATGTAGCTGGTGTTTAAAGCCGTGAGACAGGGTGAGGTCACCGAGAGGATGTAGATAAGAGAGAGGAAAGGCCTGGAACCCAACCTTAGGGCCCTAAGTTTTCAGTGGTTAGGGAGATGAGGATGCACCAGCCAGCGAGGGGGCAAGAGAGGCGGGGGCTGGGCGCCGAGGAAGTCAAGTGAGGGGAGGGTTTCTCGTAGGAGAAAGTGACGGCCTGTGTGAGTTGGACAGAGACCTCGAGTGACCACTGGCCTTAGCAGCTCACCTGGCCAAGACCAGTTTCCAAGGAGGGGAGAGGGGTCCTGACCCGAGGGGTTTTAATGGGAATGGAAGCAAACATATCAGAGATGGTGGGCATAGTAATCTCTTTTTAAAGAGTTCACCTCTAAAGAGGAGTAGAGAAATAGGGTGACAGGTAGAGTGGGACACGGAGTCCAGACAGCGTTACATGCTAAAGTAGGAGCAGCATAGCATGTTTATAGACTGACAGTAATGATTCGGTGGAGAGGGGAAAACATGGCAAGAGAGAAGGCATTATTAATATAATTCATGAGATGAGGGGAATGACGCTTTGGGAGGCAGTCAGCAGAGGCTGGAAGAGTGACTTACCATGGTCGCCGGGCAGGATGTGACCCACACCTCCAGCCCCACCGTGTTCCACGGTGAGCACAGCAGGGCTCTGACTGCCCATAAATGGCCACATACCTGTGAGCGGCCCCTGCCGTGGCCGACGGAAGACGGGCTGCCTCAAAGGGACAATAAAAGTGAAACCGCCTCCATTAATCAGTGCGTGGATTAGATACGAACGGATGAAGCCTTGCCAACAAGCTCTAGCCCTGACAGCTGACCAGCAAAATCAGGAGGCTCTTGAGCACAAACATGCCTCTGAGAGCTTCCACGAAGGCTATCTGAAAGAGCGTCACACAGCTCCCCGCCGCGCCAGCCAGCCCAAGGGCAGAGGACAGAGGACCCCCACGGCACCCGCCGCTGCCCAAAGCCAGAGCAGCGCATCAAGGACCCACAAACCCAGAAAATGTGATGGCCTGTGGATGAAGAACCCTCCCTCCCCTTTCTCGCTCACAGCTGGGGGTTCTGTCCACTGGCAGCTATGATACAGAGTTTGTAAAAACGACCACAATTTTCCCCTGCCTGTACCCATGCCCCATCACTATGTGACTCTGCAACTCTTCTCATTAAGAATTTGAGTCTGTGTCTCCAGCACTTGCACCTGGGCTGGGCTCGTCACTTGCTTTAACCAGCAGAATATAGTAGGCTCAGCTCCTAGGCCTCAAGAAGCCCTGCACGCTCCCCCTTCCCTCTCAGCACCCTGCTGGGCTGCCACATGAACAAGCCAACGCTAGCCTGCTGGACTCGGGGGACCACGCAGAGCAGAGGCCAGTCATCCTGGCCCCTGGACAGCCAATCTCAGCCCACACAGCAGTTAACTCCAGCTGCATGAGTGAGCCTAGCTGAGGTCAGAAGAACCGCTGGCTGATCCCAGCCCAAATGGCCAACCCACAGTGTAGTGGGCTCAATCAGTGGTTGCTATTTTAAGCAGCAAACACCAACATATACACCCAACTAACCGGTCCACCGGTGACCAAGTAGAATTCAGTCACTATTGGTTTACAACGTATCTTCCATGAAGAATTATTCAATGAGACTTTTAAAACTTCAATTTTTGGCATTGGCACAAGAATGTATGGGCTATGACCCACTGTGAGAATGAAAGGCAAGGTCCCAAGGAAAGGAACAGCAAGGGTGGGAGTGTGCCCAGAGGTGCACATACAGGATGGGACACCTGGGCACCCCTCCATGCCACACCCTGAATCAGGCCTGCGACCCCATTCCTCTGCCCAACAGCCCCGGCACATACAGTCCAGACCTCACAGGCCTTGAGGTAGGAGCTCCCTGGAGCTCACACAACCAATGCAACCCCGGATTACCCCTCCTCAAGAGGTCACAGGCCCCCTATTCACCAGAGTCTGGCCAGCCTGGGCCTGCCTCCATCCACAAGGACTCGCAGCAAACATGGGCACTGCCTGCTTCTGCACAGAACACATTTCAAGGCTGTGGACCAATGAGGAGGGTGCAGAACTCAACATGACTCCCTTACAAGTTGGGGAACATGCTGAGTTTATCCAACATCCTTCTCCCCTTCTCCACTACTATGGAGTATTCATTCATTTGGGGTGGAAATGTGCCCAGCTGAGAGAATGCCTATCCCAACCTCCCTTAGAGCAAAGGTGATCATTCATTCATTCCTCCAGGACTTACTGAACACCTACCAGGTTTCAGGCAAGCTCTGGGTTCTGGGGATGCCCCAGAGAACAAAACGGACTAAGTCCCTGCCTTTATGGAGCCTCAGTCTGGTGAGGAGAGAAGGTGACAATAAGAAGATACCCAAGAGAAACATCTAGAGTGTATCCCGCAGAGTTGACTGCTTTGGAAGTACACAGAGCAGGGTAAGGGAGATAGAATTTGCCTAGCAGGAGTGGGACACTATTTTTTGTAAGATTCTCAAGGAAGGCCTCTCTGAAAATATCAAGTTTGAGCTGACACCTGACAAAGATGAGGAAACACAACATATAACATCCAGTGTAAGAGCAATTCAGTTGGAAGGAAGAGCAAATGCAAAGGCCCAGAGGTAGCAAATGCAAAGGCTCGCCTCGAGGAAAGCAAAGAGGGCAGTATGGCTGAGGCAGAGGGAGCAAGCAGCAGAATGCTAAGAGGTCACAGTGGGGACCATGGAGGGCCTCGCTGGCCACGGAAAGGACTCTTCCTGGAGGGGGATGGGATCCACTGCAGGGAGGGAGTTAGAGAATAAAATGGTCTGACTTCTATTTCAGAAGGATTACTCTGGCTGCCATATTGAAAAAAGATTTTAGAGGCCAAAGGCAGAAAGAGGTGATAGTATAGGAGGCGATTGTCATAAATCAGTTTAAGAAATGATGACAGTTTGGATCAGGGTAATGGCAGTGGAGGAAGAAAAAAGTAGTTAGAATCCAGACATGTTCTGAAAGTAGAGACAACAGGATTTGCTGATGGATTGAAATGGGCGGCGTGAGAGAAAAAGAGGATCAAGGGTGATGGCAAGGTTTTGGCCTCAGTAATGAGAAGGGTGGGGGCTCTACTCACCAGGAAGGCAAAGGCTGCAACGGAGAACGGGGTTTGGAGGAAAGATTAAGAGTTTGCTGATGGGTGTGTTAAGTGTGAGATGCCCACTGGACATTTGTTATGGACTGAATTGTGTCTCCCCCAATGGGGATTGGGAAGCCCTAATTCCCAATGTGATAGTATTTGAAAATAAGACCTTTAAGGAGGTAATTAAAGTTAAATGAGGTCATCAGTGTGGTGCCCTAATCTGATAGGACTGGTCTTTTCTTAAGAGGAAGAAACACCAGAGTCCTCACCCTCTCCACATATGCACAGAAGAAAGTTCAGGTGAAGACATGGCAGGAAGGCAGCCAACTGAAAGCCAAGGAGAGAGGCCTCAGGAGAAACCAACCCTGCCGATGCGTTGATCTTGGACTTCCAGTATCCAGAACTGTTAGAAAATAAATTTCTGTAGTTTAAGCCACCCAGTCTGTGGTATTTTGTTAGGGCGGCCAGGGCAAACTAATGCAACGTCCAAGTGCAGACGTTGAATAAGCAATTAGATCTACAAGTCTGGAGTCTGGAGCCGAGCACTGGGCTGGAAATGTATATTTGGGAGTTGTTAGCGCTCAGATGGTATTTGAAGCCATGAGACTGACTGAGTTCACCTGGGGAATGAATAGGGATAGAGAAGAAAAGAGGTTTCAGCAACGATCTTTAAAGAGACTCAGGAATAAGTGTCACCAGGAAAGGAGACTGAGAAAGGAGTGGCCAGTGGGGTGAGGTGAGAAAGAAGACAGGAATGTCCCAGAAGCCAAGAGGAGAGAGTGGCCAACACTGTCTTAGGTTATTGATACTTTGCAAGATGAGCACTGAGAATCAACCATTGGATTTGACTCTTTGGAGGCCACTGGCGACCTTGAAAAGAGTCATCTTAGTGCAATTGTGGGGTGGATCCCTGATGTAAGTGGTTCAAAAAGAAGGAAGGTGAGAAAGTCTGGAGACAGTGAGTTCAGGCAACCCTGTCAAGGAAGTTTGCATAAAGAGGCGTAGATAAATGGAGCGGATGCTGAAAAGGAACGTGAGGACAAGGCAGAAATTTGCTGATTTTCACTTTGTTTATTTACTTACATGGAGCTATTACAGCACATTTATAGGCTGATGGGAGTGATCCAGTAGAGAGCGACAAATTGTTGAAGCAGGGGAGAAGGCACTTTCTGGAGGTTTATCCCTGAGTAGGTGAGCGCTCTCAGGCTCAGTGGAAAAGTAGAGGCGTTGGCTTTAGATAAGAGGATTGAGTTCGAGCCTAGGAACAGGAGCAAAGGCAGAGTTCATGGGACAGATGAAAGCAAGTCTGCAAATGTGTGGGGCCGGGGGGAGCAAGGCAGTTCTCTGATTACTCCTATCTTCTCCGTAAAGTAGGAAGCATGGACCTCAGCAGAGTGAGGAGGGAGAGAGAGGTGCTGGAGATGTGAGGAGAGAGAGGTGTCATGTAGGGGCTGTGAAGGTGGATGGACAAGGGAATGTAGTAGGATAGGGAGCAGCACAAAGGGCCCATTTGACGTCAGTGACCATAAATTTCAAAAGTGAGAGTGGTTCAGTGGATTTCTCCAGCCTCCTCCAGCTGCCAGGGTGCAGGCGAGGAGCAGGTGGAAATTGGACAGAACCAAAGTAGGGGTTTTGTCAGATGAGTTTAATGAAGAGAGACAGGCATGGGAGTTGATAATGTATGACAATAATGCTGGGCCATGGAATCTAACCTGGCTAAGAAGAAGAGTGAGGAAATAAATGATAGGGATGAAGTTGGTGAAAGGATAGTAGTAGGATCAATGGATCTTAGGTTGGTTCTTTAGTTTTGAAGAATTTTGGAGTTGTGCCAACAGAGGGAGGCAGTTGGATGGTTGGTTGGTTAGGAGGCATGACAATTACATTACGGAGGGGTACAGATGGCGAGCTGCAGAGCTCAAAGATTTTAGCGAGGGGAGGAACGCAGTCTATAAGCTACAACAAGACACAAGGTGGACATGCACTCCACCTTCAGGCCCAGTGGTCCAAAGGACATGGGAAAAAACCACCAGCCCCCAACACACACACAAGCTCAAGAAAGCTGCAAGGAAATCAGTCCCCAGGAGAGAGTAAGGATTTCACTGAAACCAAGAAAGCAAAAGGAGAATGAGCAGAGATGGAGGATATGGGGGATTTTGCTAATAATTTAGCATGATTTATTGTTTCCAAATACTAAGTCCAGGGGTTCAAATCCTGCCTTCCAGGCTGTTAGCTTTTGGCATGCTTCTTGACCTCCACGATGACCCAGTTTCCTCGTCTATGACTATTATAAAAGTTAAAGAAAATAAGGGATGCAAAGTGCCTGGCATAGAGTGACAGTCAGCCAGGGCCAATTCTTTTCCATTCTATTTTTCCGATGCCTGAAGTTTCAACCACCACTTCTGATGATCAAACATGTTTCAATGACCGTCTTATCAGCTGTTTTCAAAGCAAGAGCTCTTTCTGCCTCCTGACTGCTCTCTCTTGCTCTCTCTATCTTAGTCCCCTCTGTCCCCACTCCCTCTCTCCTCCTCTCCCCGCCCCATCTCTGGTTAAGCAAGACTAACATATTCCATTATTCCCAAGGAAAGAATCCAATTATACATCATCACAAGACCACAAGGCATCTGACATTTTCTGATCCTTGGGCACTTTCTTGTTTAAGCTTCTATCCTTATCATAGCTCAATAAAACCCAGTTTCAACTTTTAAAACAGCTATTAAATATGCCTAAAGGTGAATCTTAATTAGTAAAATGGGACAACAATGCCTACATCCCAAGGAGGGCTTAAATGAGCCAGTGTGGGATGAATCACTCACACAGTGGCTGGAAGTAAAAGATGACCCGTAAATGCTTCTTTTTCTCCTCTTTCCCCATCTTCCCTCTTAAAGAGAGTAGTGACCTCTGTGGGAGACCTGAGGCAAATCGAATATTAGCATGTTTAAAAGAGAAGAAGGCAAATACTCTTGTAAGGTCAGAAAGAGAGGGAGGGAGAGAGAGAAAGAGAGAGATTGTATATCTAAGTCAAAAATCCCGACTTCTGCATAAAAGGAGAGGTTAACCTCTTCTCCCCACTCCTCCAGCATCAAGATTGGTCACTGGGCCATCCCATCCCTGAGGCCCCCAGACCAGAGTAGCTGCTACACAAGGAGACTGTGAATCCGACATGTTTCCGGTGCCCCCATAACCTGAGCTGGGAAGAAGCAATTGACATTTCACCCTCAAAGCGCATCTGACCTCTCCCACCTGTCTCTCTGCGTCCCTTGCCCTCCCCATCACTGGCTCTGTAGGGAGCCTCCAGAGCTACCCTGACCCCTTTTTGGTGATTTCACCATCTATGCCTTGTCCTTGGCATCACCTCAGGGTCCAACTTCCAGTTGATATTTGCTAGAGCAAATGTTCCTTGTACTTTTGCACAATTGTTTGCCTATCCTTGACCCTTTACTTTTCCATATGAATTTTAGGATCTGGAACATTCTCAACTCATATCTCTGTAACCATTCCCTTAGTTCTCTTCTAGAACTCCTGTTTCATGTTTGCTTCTCAGTCTATCCTCCACATCTATTAACTATCCTTCCACCTTTTTTTGCTTTTCTGTACTGGGTTGTGGATTAATTCCTCATCCTATCTCCTAATTCCCTCATTCCATTTCACCTAAGTTCTAGTCTAGAATTTATGCCATTGATAGGCACTTTTGTTTCAAAGAATAAAGTTATAATAATTAAGATACTGAAAAAATTAAGACATTAAGATAATAAATTAATAATTAGAGGAGAGGAACAAATAGGTCAGTGATGAGAATTGGGACCCCAACAGACCCACCCCCATATGGAAATTTGGTGTATGACAGAGGTAATGCTTCCAGTCAGCTATTCTCAGTCATAGTGCTGTACTCTCAGCGATATGAAGCTCAGAGGAGGGGTGAGTCACAAGTAATTTCATTCATTTATTTGACAAATATTTATTGAGCACCCACCATGTGCCAGGAAATGGAGAACATCTGTGAAAATAAATCACCGAGAAAAGTATTCAGTGGTAAAAGTGCTATGCAGAGAACTAAGACAGGGTGACACGGTGGGGAGTGACTGGGTGGTGACTTCAGATCGGATGCTTGGGAAAGGCCTTTCTAACGGGGTGAACCTTAAACTGAAATGTGAGTTATAAGAAGTTGCCAGCCTAGGTATATACTTAAGAGAATTGAAAACATATATTCACACAACACCTTGTACCCAAAAGTTCATAGCAGCATTCTTCACAATAGCCAAAAAATGGAAGTAACCTGAATGTCCATCAACTGATGAGGAGATGAATAAACTGCGGTATAGACATGTAATGGAATATTACTGGAAGTTCTAAAACATTCCACAGCATGAATGAATCCTGAAAACATTATGCTAAGTGAAAGAAGCCAGACCAAAAGGCCATGTATTGTATTCTATTTATATATTAAATATGATATGATTCTATTTATATAAAATATCCAGAATAGATCTAGATAAATCTATAGAGACAGAAAGTAGATTAGTGGCTGACTAGGGCTGGGGGAGGGGTCGGGAGAATGAGGGGTGATTGCCAGAGGTTACAGGGTTTCGTTTTGGGGTGATTAAAATATTCTAAAACTAGATTGTGATGACAGTTGTACAACTCTATGAATATACTAAAAATGACTGAATTGTACACTTTAAATGGGTGAAATTACAGTATATGAATTATATCTCAATAGAGCTATTTTTAAAAAATTTATGATCTCTCCTGCTTCTGTGGATTGACCGGGCTCAGCTGGGCGGTTCTCACTTGGGATTTCTCATATATTTGTGGTCAGGTGGTGGCTGGGGCTGAAGTCTTCGAAAGTTTTTTCATTTGATGTCTGGTACTAGGCTGACTGTGGCTGGAACCCCTAGGGAATGACCAAGCATCTTCCTCCACATGGCTAGCTTGGGCTTCCTTATAAGCATGGCAGTCTCAGTACTTACACAATGACTAGTTTCCCCCAAAGAAAGCCTCCCAAGAAAAAGGAAGTGGAAGTTGCCAGTCTTTTACATGCTGGAACCAGAAACTGGTCCACTGTCAAAACAATCATTATAGCCCACCTAAATTCAGATGGTGGGGACATACAGTCCACTTCTTGGTGGGAGGAGTGTCAAAGAATGTGTGGTC